AGAATTACCATGAGCTCCTGAACACATTTTTGATTCTCTCTATTCTTTTACTAGTCCTTTAATAATCTTATTTTGCAATACGTTTAGTCTTTGGATTTCTAAATAGGATATTTAATGAAATACGAATGAATGCTTGTACAAGTCAAGTCACAATGTCATTCAACTTAGTTTATTAAAATAAGTCAGTGGACACCAGTATGTTCAAATCAACTCAATACACATTTAGGCAGCCCCTCATTGCAGGGTTGTGTCAGAAGCTGGCAGTTGCAAAAAGACTATGAAACATAGCATTTTAGTACTTTACATTTTTAAAAAATACACAATCTATTTAGAGATGATTTCTCTAACCTCAAATGGTTGGGGAAATAAACATGTCTTTAAAGGGGAAAACATCATTTCTAATAGCACCAAATTTAAGCAGGGGAACATGAAATTCCCCATGACAAGCTACAACTACAAAAAAAAAAATGTCAGGCAAAATGTTGAGCAGGTAGATGTTGAGCTAGGTTAGCGTTTATGCTTCAAGAGCTAACCTAGCCAGCTCCTGTTCAAGTCTACACTGAGCATTGCCAGCTACTGATAAGTCTGACACCAAGTTTGTGTTATCAGCAAATAGCTTAATGTTTGGTGTGTGTGTTTTTCAAAATGAAAGTTTTGTGTGATGTATAACTATAAAGTCATTTTAGAAGAGATATCCACAAGGAATGGATGATTAGTTGTATTTTATCATTTCATAATTAGCCATACTTATACTTTATTTTCCATGGCTGTAAGATTTTGTTGTTCATTCTTAATAAGAGATAATCAACAACTCATTAGGGCCCAGGAGAAGTCAGGGTAAGAGAAGAAGGGTGGGAAGGCCAATATTGCTTTCAATTCCATTTTCCCTGCTACATCTTATTGTATGTGATTATCTTTGTTTTGATTCATCTGTTCTGCCCTGAATATAGCTTTGTTGGTGCTTTTGTGGTTGGTTCTCAGACAGATTATTGTTGCAAGACTTATCATTGGGTGTTCTAAATTTTCTTTAATGAAGTTCCTATTTGAATTCTGGATCTGGTTTGATTCTGTTACATTCCACTCTACATGTGCAGAAAGTCACTGACCAATTTAGAATTTCACTTATCATACTTGGTTAATTCCACTTTTGTCTAGTATCCCCTGTTGTTTAGTTGAAACTGCATCCTTTCTAAAGAGAAATATTTCATACTACATTATAGTTATGCTATTTATTTAGTTTGCAGTTCCAGGGCTTGCATGTAAATCCTTTGTACCCATTGTCTGTGGGAGCTCATGGTAATTCTCCACTTTCTCTTTTGTGCTTCTGTATACACTTGTTTGTGAGTTTCCTGATGTTTTTCATTGAAAATAAACTATATTTCAAATCCCACTGGAATATAAATTTGTTATCATCTTGTGGAGATATGTCTCCCCCCCTAACTTTTGTGTTATCTACTATTATTTTTAGCAAAGTTCCACTTAATATACAGCCTAATAGTAATCAGCTAGTAATCCTAAAGTTAAATAATCATCCTTTTGAGGGAACTGGAAGCTCAGGGTGGGGAGATGTAATGAGAGTGTTTTCATGGTTTAGTTTTAGTCTAATGATTTCAAAAGTTGACAGTATACAAAAGAATTGTGGAAGGGCTAATGAACATGACACAATCTTACCTACTGTCAAAGTTCAAAGCACTGACCTCCATAAAGTTCAGGTAATACAATTTAGTGAATTAATTTTTCACTGAACATTTTATCCATCATCTCTACAGAAAACTTGAGATTTTCATGTCTCTTTCCTGTTACTTAACATTGGCTTTAAAAAGAAACCACAGCAATGCACGGCATGCACTGCCTTTGTGATTCCTACAGCAGATCTAGGGGCAGAAAAGGGATCTAGGGTAGTTTTCACAGTACTAGTCTGCTAAGATGCCCTTGGGCACAGCGTTTTATACCATGGCAGACTGAAACAGATTTATAAACATGTCAAGAAGTGTAGAAATCTCCTTACATATTCAAGTGTGGAATTCCCCTCCCTCATCTTATTTTTAAAATGCTAATTAATATTTCATAGACTATTTTGAGAAGGACTAGAACATGCATTATATGATGGGAGTGGGAAATATTAATGAAGCTGATAGAGAATTTATTGATTCACAAAGTATTTGAAAGCTTTATTTATTGGTTCTTTCCTCTTAGCATAAAAACATTAATCAAAAAGATACTTTCCTAGAAAACAGGGCAAAATTTAACAAAGGATATTAATCTATTTGTGAAGGCAAATGTTATTTCTCTTTGAAGCACTCTGAATATTTAATTCTAAGCACAATGTCTCCAGACTTGTTTGCAAAAGAATGAATAATAAAGAACTGGAGTTTCCAGAAACAAATTATTGAAAACAATTATTGAAAAGTGTCCAGAAAAATATAAAAATTGTCAAAAACATTGTCTACTACCTAGAGGTTAGGTCTGTCAAACCATTTAGTTTTGGCAAAGGGTACTGTGGTGGTGTGTTCTAAGGGCATTTATAGTGATTTGCAATGGACATTAATTTTAGCTCAAGGTCATAGTATTTAAAGCATGAGTACAGGTTTCTCTTAGATGTCTGATTTATATATAACATATATATGTGTGAAGTATATATACATAAAACATTGTATAAATAAACATACACTCAAATATCTTGATACTATCTAGGTAATATCTCATCAAGTATCTTGGAGATATCTGATAGTAGTAGTATATCATATATCTATATATTATATATAGATATAGATATAGATATATGACTACTGCAAAAGGAAAACATAAGCACGGAGCCTCAGAATCATCCTGTATCCGTCTCTGGGATGCTGGCTGGACAAGTTTCTGACTCTCATGCACCGATTTTTTTCCTTGTTTTACAGAGATGAGGAACAAACTTGAGATTATATTGCGTCATCAAGGCAAAAAAGATTTTGAGACAATATACTGTCTTCCCTTCCTACTTAGCCTCGCTATATGTCTTTCTCTTTAAATTCATAAAACTTGGTTTTCTGTTATTATATAGTTGGATTGCATATTATGTTATAAAGTTTAGCATGGAAGCTGAGGATATAGTTCAGTGGCACAGTGCCTGCCTGGTAAGCACAAGGTCCTGAGTTCAGTTCCCAGTACCAAAATAAATAGATAAATAAGTAAATAAAAAGCAAATTAAAAAAAAGTTTAGCATGAACTCTGATGCTCTCCTCTGTAGGAGAGACAAATTTTAGAGGTTGAAGGTATTTAGTAATTTTTATAAATACTTTCTGCAATGTTTCTGTATAGTTTTCTAATGTATAAAATAATCAAGGGTGCATATTATTTTAACTAACCTCTCTGATACTTCTTTTCCTTCTACCATGTATAGGTGTTGACACATACAAACTAATTTCATGAAACCCTGGCCAGTTTGTAATTGTTCTACCATTTATCATATTGGCCCCCCTGAGGCCCTGCCACACGGTCAAGTATTTTGAGGTGGCTTTGGGAATGTGACTGGATCGGAAGAGTGCTACACTTACCACTGGAGCAATCCACTGGTGAGTTTATATGTGAACGTAGTATTAAAATGTAGGGCGTTGTTGGAGGTGGGACGCCGAGGGCATGGCCTGGAAAGGTTTGCCCTCCTCTCCTGTTCCTCCCTCCTCTACTTTCTGGTCACATGAAGTAAGCAGTATTTGTCTGCCAGGCCCTTTCTCTATGGTGTTAATACCTTGGAGCCAGGAGACCGGAGACTAACCTGTGAGTCAAAATAACCCTCTCCTTCTCAAAATTGTAGATTTTGGGTATTTTGTTCCAGAGATGGGAAAGTGACAAAATAGTAATTGATACAGTTTTCTCTTTAATTCATGTTATATATCCCCATTTTACTATATTCATGCCATATGGTTGGCCATTAATAGTATCTTATTAATAGTTACTTAAATTACATGGAATTCTAAAATATGTTTTCCATTCAGTGTGTGTTTTAAAATATATCTTTGAATAGAATGTAGTAGGATTAAAATTTCCTTTTTTTGTTATTACTCTTACTTATTTATTTATTGAGACAGGGTCTCAGGATAGTTCAGGTTGGTCCTGAACTCACTGTGTAGCCCAGGCTGGCCAAAAAGTCACAGTGATGCTCCCGCCTCAGCTTTCCAATGGCTAGAAATACAGGAGTGAACCATGACTTTTGATGTGATCATTAATTTAAGAACATAAAACTTTTAAGTTTTGAAGAGAATCAAACCCTATGGCTGTACTTTACAATGAAAAATAATGGAATATTTATGAAGTATCATTAAATTGTAGATTTTCTTTTGCTACTGTCTACAAGTTAATTTTTCTTTTCTTTTTTTTTTTTTGGTTTTTCTCCGGTACCAGGAACCAAACTCACAACCTTGCGCTTGCCAGGCAGGCGCTTTTGCCGCTGAGCTAAATCCCCAGCCCCAAGTTAATTTTTCTATATCAAACATTTTAAATGAAATTTATAATTATTCCAAAGAAATTAAGAAATATCCACTTGCTTCTAATTCTCAGTTACTTACACTTTTAAAATAATTAATTCTATAGATAAAACATCTGTGTCGTATCTGTCTAGAGATCATTATTGTGTAAGGAAAGTAATAGATCAGGAATGTGCTCATAGAGTGGAATGTATAATTTCAAATATTTGTTACACTCATTATCAGTGTCTTTTTTTTTTGGTTTTGGTTTTTCTCCGGTACTGGGAACCGAACTCACAACCTTGCGCTTGCCAGGCAGGCGCTTTGCCACTGAGCTAAATACCCAGCCCCCTATCAGTGTCTTTTAATGACTACTGTAAGTCAGTGTCATATCCTGTTTATCACTTTTCAATCCATGGCTCAAGTATAGAATGAGATTATCCATCTGGTTACAAAATATTAATGTGGAGTTCTCAAAGTGACCTGACCAAATGGTCTATTTTTGGTTTTTTACAAGCAAGTTTTCTTTATATAAATGGCTGTTTTACAAATTTGAAATGTGAATATATTTTATTTTTCCCAGTGAGTACACAATACACAATTCTTTGACAATACTATTAACCAATTTTTATGCCAATTTCTTTGCCAATCTAACAACATCAAATGAAACACAGTAAGATTTTAGACGCTGTTTGGTGACTTAAACCAACTACAGTTTAAAAAAAGAATCTACCTATAAAACAAAGTATAAAAAAATCTACCACGGCCACAAAATCCCTTATCTTGCAACACTTTAAAGTCACAATAAATGGTTTTGAAATCATGAAATTAAAGAAAATTAGTATGTCACTTAAAAATGAATGGTGTTTCATTTGACAAACACATTATAAAGAAGCAAAATAAACATAACTTCACCTCTAAGATAATGTGGAAAACATGTTGATTTACACCAATGTTTGTCATGTAGTTCTATAAACACAACGTACAGAAGCAGATGAGGAAACTAACATTAGTGATTCTTATAGTTCTGCATATCTTTAATACTGACACACAATCACTTTCCAGTGGAGGTAATCCACAGTTTAGAGCTCATTGGCATTGTTATTATTTTATTGTCAAGGGACAATTACATAAGTATATTGAAGTGAAATTGGGAGGTGTTCCATCAAAGTACATACAAACTTTGAACTAAATTCCATTGAAAATATATTTAAATACCTAGAGCTTTCAACTATGACAGAGAACACCATGAATTTTGTTCTCTTATTCAAAGCAAGTAAACTTGCAATGGTTCTAGTTCCAATGGTTCTAGTTGATTGTGTGATACCTCACACGTTGGTCTTGACTTTCCTCTATTCTTTCTTAAACTTGATTCAAATCCTGTGAAGGAAACAATTGTTTTCATGCCCCTGCATGATCCTATTTTTAAAAGGTATGGCAAAGATTTGGAGGTGGGCACGTTGACTCTACTGCATATGCTGGCATACCTGAGTTTGAGCACTGGGAAGCAGACCCTGCCTGTTATGAACACATGTGTCTGGTGTGACTGCATAGCCTCATTGCCTAGGAGTGCAAGATAAGAGTAATTTATCTTCCACCATTTCCCCCTGATCCTGTATGCTGGCCTGAATGCTATTTAGACCAGCAAAGACTGAATTCAGTGAATTTTGAATCACATTCATTTAATGTCACACAAAGAAAACCAAGGTGGCTGTTATACAGGTTGGTATTCTTCTTTTAATATTCTGACTTCACTGATAGTAAATTTTTGAAAATAGCAAGCTGATAAAAGCTTTTCATTTTTGATATGGTTCCTGAATTCATATAGCTATACCTTATTATCCTCCATGTGAGGATACTATGCATATGTATATTGGGTGATAGATTAGACAGATTAATTTATTTAAAATAAGATTTAACAGACAATATGGATTATTCTAAAAGAATATTCCAAGTAGCTACAAGGTCTGTATTGACATATTTTAAAAATTTTTGTGCATTGAAAACAATCACAAAAAAGTACGATGCTATGCCCTGCATTATTCTACAAATCATCTGTAAAACCAAGATACAACTTTGAAGTCTTGACTTACAAATCATCCACAAGTGCCAGTTATTAAGTGTAAAGGCAATGTGTAATGTGTAATATACCGAAGTTTTAAACTATATTCCATTACTGAGCAGAGTAAAAGAGGAAAACAAATGAATAAAAACAACTTAGAAATTTGCTTTTAAATGCAGGAAGGTGAAGCAAGGAACTGCACAAATGATGAAATTATGTCTTAGAGTTGGTAATAATCATGTATCATTTTTGCAGAATCTTTTCCCCTTTCCCAGTCTCTGTCCTAGATAGAAACCAAACTGCATTAAAATTCAGGCACTGATGGTAGAAAGTTGGTGGAGGGTTTTATAAGTGTGTCTGAAAGTTCTTCTCTTCAGTGAAGAAACGAACTATGTGGCCCCGAGAAGATGGTGGGACCTATCAAGAACTCTGAAATCTATGCTGCCTGTGCTGATGCAGTCACGGGGGAACAAAAATGATGGAACATTTAATGATATTACCCGTGAGCTGTACTGAGCCAAAACCATGCAGAGTGTGAACTGTCATGCAGGGGGTCCCCTATTTTAGAATTTATCATGGTCATCACATTGAGTAATTTTCAATCACCCAAGTACTGAACATAGAGAAAAAGCATTAGAAAATATAGGCAGAAATAGAGGTTAAGATTGTGTAGGTGGTACATGAGAAAATGTCACAGGTGGGAATCACAAGAATCTTCTACTTTACTGATTGATTATACATGTACAGTAGTTTAACAGATTTCAAAGTCACATATTTGGAGTGTGCATAACTGATGTTCAGAACTTCCTGTTCTCAATGTTGTGAAAACAAATAAGGCAGGACGCCGTTATTAATGTCCACTTACAAGGTTTGATTTTATTTAAAAAGTGTCATAAACATGCAATTTTCCTCGTTTTCAATTTTCTTTTTCAATTTACTCATTTAAAATGGGTCAAACAGATTTTAATTGGTAGCCAATTTCTGAGACTCTACCAAAAGGTGTTTATTCCAATAAATCTACTTACTGTGAGCTGAACATACTCTGAACACTGCTTTATAAGCACTTACAATTTGGCTATACATTGGGTGGCATTGACTTTGCTTCTTAATCAAATGCAACATGAAAGTGTATGTAGACTGCATTATTTTTATAAAAGTCATGAATTTAAGTGGTGCAGTTCTAACCTCTATTGTGTACTGTACATGTATTAGAAAGATGAAATAAGATATTGCAAAAGAGTTCATATTTAGAAGCAGCCTGAGTATGTCCTAATAATAAATAGCTTCTTTAACTATTTTCTAGGTACTCTAGAGTTCATTTTGGTTGTTTCCTTGGGGAGCTTCATGTTATATTCTGACTTAATGAGTTGGAAATATTAATTATGATAATTCAGAAAATGCTATTTAAAAACGGTAGTATAAATACAGCTCTTGTGAAACGCCTTAATTTTCTTTTGCTTCTTGTAATTCTCAGGTGGGTCAATTAGAACTTTAGGTAAAATTGATTCTAAATGAAACTTTATCTTTTTTTAAAAGCAAGATTAGTTCCTCTTCACTACCTGCATATCTGAATGTGTATTCAGTCTAAAGGCTTAGACTTCCTTCCTTTGACCCTCACTTTTGTCAGCAATAAAAGCTTTGTAAATTGAGTCACTTCTCAATTCAGAGAAGACTTTGCCAGTACCATTATTCCTTTGCATCTTGCTCTTTCTACACCCCCACTGAGAGCCATCTAATGTGACGGGTTACACCAGCATCATCCAACTCACTTACAGTACAGCAACTCCCTTCACATTCAATCTTTCTTCATGTTTTGAGGAGTAGAGATTTGTGCTTATCACCAAATAAAATTGCAGTGCAAAATTTAAACATAAAAGTTACACAATTAAAAGTTAATATATGGCAACACAGCCCATTAATTCACATATAGTACAACAGACAATTAAGAACAGACAATAATATGAACAGAGCTAAAAAGGGTGAGCTTGCATAGCAAAGCACAAAAGAAATTATATACAGAGGAAAATCCTTTTCTTCCTGGAGGGTGAGTTTCTGAGTTTTGTTTTCTTCCTTCTTTTATATACTCCTGACAAGAAAGAGTTAAGGTGGGTGGTTTACTTAAGAGAAGAACACAAGTAAGATATCTGTGGGATATGTGTGGCTGTGTGTCTTTACATTGCATTTACAGTTCTTTTAATAGTACATAAATAAAAGAAATTGTTCATTGCACTGTTTAGTGTCATAACTTCCATGAGTTCGGACCTGATGGTCCTTCAGAGCAGCTTTGAAGGTCTCCTCTCAGTTACTCTGGAAAAAGAAGAAAAATCAGAAATCAGAAACAATGCTTACATTTACGTTAAGTATTCTTTTTCTGTGAACAGTACGACTGAAATCGGGGCAACCAGATAATAAATGAAGATAAAATCATCAGATTCTGAGTTTGTAAACTTAAGTAATTTTACTTGAAGGTTTTGAAAATGAAGAAAGATAAACTCTGTAGAATTTCAACATTTAACTGCTAAAACAGGTATGTTTTTGTGAGTCTATCGTTATTTCAAATAAAAGTTAAGGAAAAATCTAACTAGCTATAAATTAAAAATGACAAATAATTTATAATAATTAACACATAATAATAGCTCAAAATAACTCAGGTCAATGAAACATTAGTTTAAAAATATTTTTCCCTTCTATCAGCTCATGAAGTCTCCTAAACAGTATGTAAAGTGAACCTAAGAGTAACCCTATATTTTACACAAATCCAGACACTAGGAAAATAGCTTATTTTCTCACGCCACATAACCAGTTAAATGGTTGAGAATATCGGAACCCATGACTGTTTCCTTAGCAGAGATTTAACGCTGAATTCATAGCAGCAAATGAAAATGCTAAGTGGGTACCATCCTGACATAAGTTAGGGAAATGGTAAATTTCCGGGTGACTTTACCAGAAAGTGCACAGCGCTTTCTCTTTGACACACTGAGACATTTCTATCTTTCTCCGTTACCTAGTATTTTATATTTGAAAGTTGATGATAGTAACTATGGGTGTCCACATTTTATTTAAAAAGATATATTTATTCATCAGATATATCATTATAGTCAAAATATCACAAATTAAAGACAAAAATCAACTTTTCAAGGTTCTTACTCTAAATTTTAAAACAAGAGTTAAATGAAAAGGAACTAGAGCAGGAAGCATTCTTAAAGAATTCTTTGAAACTACTAAGACTTTCCTCAATTAAAAGAAGAAGACAGGAAGACCATGGACTATTTATAACTTGTAAGAACTAAGAGCAACTCCCTACATTAAAACAATTTTTATACAACCTAAATCAACTTGAAATATCAATGAGATATTTGTCATTGCTGGCCAGGAATAACAATTGTCTAACTTCTGATCAACATGTTTCAAAATCACTATTGATTTTTTTTTTCATTGCAGAGCAAGGCTTTTATTATTCTGAATGTGTTTAATATGGTGATACCCTTAGTCTAATATTCTCTTTGAGTTATAGCCTTTAAGCGACCCAAAACACTTACATAATTCACCTGTAAACTGTCCTTGACTATTTGAGCCCATATATCCTATGTCAAGAAGGTCACTGGCATTGCGCTGGTGGCCCCCTCGCAACACCTCGGCTTTCCTGGGTCCAGTGGACCCTTTCGAAGAAGATGTTCCCGATGAGCTGTGGCCACCGGGAGATGGGAAGCTGGGTTTGCTGTAGGGCACCAAGGCCTCCTCTGAAAGAGAGAGACACAAAAGGCTAAATTGAACAGCAACGTGCAGGCAAAAAAGAAACTTCACTCTCACATAGTAAGCTCAGAATGGACCATTTTATTATGTCAGTCTTCAGTAAAATGAAAATTCTGAGGTTTAATCAGGCCCGGATATTAAAGGAATTTCCACGCACAAGCAACACTTCCTACAATAGGAACTGAAGCAGGATTAAATTAAAACAGATCTTGGGATAAGTATATGATGTTATATATCATTTGCAAAATTTAAATTCATTATAAAAAAGAGCCATATAAAATGAACCATAGTTTGCTTAACAAAAAGCATATCTGAGAAAAGTTTTCAATGAGGCTCCAATTGAATTTTCCCATTAAGATGGAAGAAGCATGATTTTTATTTTAAGTTAAATTACAGCAACATTTTTTCAATCAATTTAAAGAACTCTGTATTAGTTAATTAAATAAACTTTTAAAATTTCTTTTTTCATGTGATATAAATATACTAGAAACATCTTGTATTTCATTAAAAGAAAGAGAAACCCATACATTTTAACATGTGTTATTATTTTCTATTGTCTCTCTACAAATGACCCACGATTTATATTACTCAATAATTATGTAATACTTTAAAATTTTCTTTTTCTTTCTTCTCATATTTTCCTATCCTCACCCTTACCCAATTTTACTCCAGTGTTTTTCTTTCTAGGTATATAAGCCATTATTGAGTGATTTGATAACTAATGAAAGATGACTGAATTTTCTATCTCTCCTTATACAGTGTTTAACATAGGAATCATCTATTTTTTTCCTCTCACAGGTAGAATGGTGTAACCTTCTTGAATGCCTCATTAGATCTAGACATTAACATTGTCATATTCTGATCCCCATACAAATTAAATGTTCCAAACACTTGAGGACAAGTTGTGACAAAATATAATTGTGGAAAATGCATGGTGAGAGGACATATCTAGAAAAGACTGAGTCCAAATGCATAAAGGAATGAATGCAGAAAGACTTTCAAAATCTCTGTGTATGTGTATAGGTGTTGGTACCCACTATAAGATGTGCCAATAAATATATTTCTATAACAGGCTCAATAACCCACCCTCAATAATATCCAACTAGAAATTATGACATATCATTTGCATCATCTCCAGGAGGCTGGATTTATTGACAAGAACATTCCTAGCCAAGAGTTAACAATAAACTACATTTAATAAGTTGGAGAAGATATAAATCCAGTTTATGCTTTTCCAACATGAGGACTCTGATTGGGCATTTACTTGTAATTTTACAATTTCAATCAAATCACCTATTTGACTGAAGTGAGTTATATTTTCAAGTGATTTGTTACTCCACTCAAACTGAGCATACTTGTTGAAAGCAGTAATTGAACTGACACAAAAGATGAACTTGTGTAGCCTTCAAAGTACTCAATGTAAAGATTATAAAGAAAAAAATCAAATTATCTCCTAGTACTGGTTTTTTGTTTTGTTTTGTTGTTTTGTTCTGTTTTGTTTTGTTGCACTGGGAGTCAAACTCAAGCCCTTACACTTCCCAGGCAGGCGCTATGCCACTGAGCTATCTCCCTGGCCCTCTCCTAGTTGTTGAAGACTGGAGGTCTCTTGGAATCAAATACCCCACAGATAGATCAACTTGAGGAGCAGTGCCCATGACAATCATCCTTATGGCATATTCCACTGAGCTCTGCTAAAGAACTCCAACTTCAATTACTGATATAAGGCAAGTGTATTTCAAAGGCCCTTAAACAAATGCCATTTCTAAGACAGGTAGAAAAAAAAATGGTAACAGTCCATGCTTTTTTGGGACTGTGCAGAACACACCTGATCCAACACCTTGTTTGTGTGGGGCTTTCCGTGTGTCTTCTTGGCGTTCTGTGGAGTTTATCCATTCCTGGGTTTGTCGCTGCCACTCTAGAGAGGTTTTAGCTGGACACTCCAGTGAGCTCTTTGTGTCTTCTAAGTTGGATGCGTGTTGTGTCTCTAGAGAACTTCCTTTTCTCTCTGTTGAGTTTTCCACGTTACCAGTATGCTGGCTCGGGCCTATTTGCTGCCTTAAACCCTGACCTGGTGGGGGATCTGGTGGTGGTGGAAGATCTAAAAATTTTGAATAATATTTAGAATGGACTAAAATTTAATGAAAAATACAAGTTTTAGTTCAAGTTGATAAAAAAAAGAAAATACCCTTGCCCTTATCACCCATGCAAAAGAAATCTGGGGAAAATAAAAGTCAATTATTGGTATCCAAAAACACATTACTGATCTCAGGGCCATCTTCTCACCACAGCATCACTGAAATAAAACTGACTGGTTTTATGGAATTGTTAAACATGGGAAATGTTTTCAAGTGCACACTGTGACTGAATGTTAGCATTCAGGGTTAAAGGTCAGTTATGGTTTATATCACTTCATTGGTGGCCTCCTTTACGGCAAAAATGCTAGGACAAAAAATATCACTTGGAATTCTAGGAGCTGTGCTAATAAAAGTCCCTGAGAACAAATCACTCCTGCCAATCTCCATAGGAAATTTCACCCTCGGGAAATTCAGAACTATATGCCGTATCATATGCAACATATTACTGCCTTTACCCCTGTATGTGACACATTTAACAACAGTCCAAGGGTTAAGCTAACATTTATTAAATATAATTAACATCCTCTGTGACAATCAATTCTGGCTATTTGTTTCATGAGTCAGCTAATGAGTTGCAACTAATATATCATAATCTTCTAATGTATTAATTTTAATAAGTAATAACCAATGCTCAGAGTACGGAGTGAATATGCTAGAGCAGACAATAGATCATAGAAATATTAGATGTGGTAGAATACATAATTTTTCAGAAATCCTGTTAAAATTACAAATTGAATATGAGAAAATTTAAAGTTCAAGCATCAGCTAATTTTTCTGTTCCCTTTTTTTTAGCTCTTTAGATATTCACCTTTATATTTTTAATATCTTCAACCATGAAACCATATTTCCTTCTACTTATAAGTATTATAGTAGCTAGGAAATCATTTTATTGAAGAATAAAAATCTTCTAAATGTTCATTTAAATCAATTTGTTAGAATTTTTGCATGCTATTTTAAATTTTTTGTTCATCCTTAGGGTATTTATAATTACATTATTTGTTCATAACAACCAAATATAGATAATATATACTTGTTTTATTAATAGAAGATGTTATATGTAATAAAGGCAGTTATTTCCCATGCCATTTTTGTAAATGTATTTCTTGTTTCTAGTAATGTTCTATTCCTGAAATTTAAAAGATAAAAGTTTAAATTTTTTACCTACAAAAGATATTTTCTTGAAAGTTAGGCTAAGCTGCTAGTTTTAAACTGTATTCAAGACATTATCCTTCATTAGCAGATAAAAACAAGCATTAACTCTGGAAGTTTCTAAATTGAAGAAGCATTTTTAGTTCTTATGTATGTCCTCATGTTAGATTATGAATTATTCATTATTGAAGGAGATAGGGCCTCTGTCTCAGATAATATAGTTGTATTTCAAACATTTCTTCTAAAATGAAGAGCTAATACAATGCTGAGATATAAGTAGCCAGTGAATTTGGTATTTACATTCAATATTTAATATTCAATATATTTACCCCCTATACATTATTATATATACAAATTAATTGTTTAATTTGAGTTATTGGATTTAGACTGTCAGTGAAGAGAAATTATATTATTTGCTTCCAAAATAACATATCTTGTCATTGATTTTTATTCTGCATCAGAGCAACTTAATTTCTAAAATGGCCAATATGGCATCTGCTTATGTCAACTAATATTCTGATGACTATTTAACCTGAAATTATATAGCTTATAATTAAGTAATATCCTTGCAGATTGTATCAGCTAAGAAGAAAATATACTGTATGCAAACTGAAATAAATAAATTAGAAAGAGAGATGGAATTACAAATGGTTGTAGAAGAAATAAAAGTATATAATCAAATACTTTTCCTTAAATTAAATTTATTATTCAATTCTATGTTGATTCATTTCAACTAAGTGAATTTACTAAAGAGTATCTTACTGGCATTCTAAGAATTAACTCTTGTCAGGCAGCAACAGTCCATTGAAACGAATGCCTTTATTGTCTTCATTTTTTAAGTAAAAAAAGGGGGTACAAATAAATTAAGTACAGTATCTCCACTCTGGGTCTCTCTTTCAGTAAATGCCAGACTCACAAAACCAAATACACTCTGGAAAGTCTCTGGAGTTAGATACTAAGGGTACGCTCTGGAAATACACACTTGGTAGCACTGTCAAATTTCACAAATCAAAATTGAGCTGCAAATCACTGTTTATTAAATATGCTTCTTCTGTAGTGTTTCTCCTTTCATGAGTGGCAATTTTATTCTGTGTGAGAACTGTTAAGCGATCTTTAACTTCCTTGCTTTATATCCTAGATTAATTTCATTAAGAAATTCTGACCTCCAGAATCCAAACTTTTTCATTGCTTCTACTAATTCTACCTTGGCCTGATCGGCCATCACCTCTTCCTTTACATTGCTTCTACATTCTCCTATGTGATTTGTTTTTATGTCCCATTTAGTATATAGCAATACAACTGCAAGTGTGACCGTTTCAAAATACAAAAATGTAGAAGATCATGCCACTCCTCTGCCTTTAACACACACACATACCCACAGCTCCAGGAGTTTCTCACTCCAAATACTATAGCATAAGAGTCCGCACACAGTGGCCCTTGTCCGTTGGCCTGCCTTCACACTCTGTCCTACTGTTCTGCCGGCCTCAGCCACACTGTTTCCTGCCCTTATTTCAAGTAAGCCTCTATCCTTCACTTGCTGTTCTTATTTCCTAGAATGACCTGTCCTTAAATAACAAGCATTATTCCTTCATTTATATTCTTGAAGTCTTTTCTCAAATGTCAGTTTGTAAGTGAGGTTTTCCCTAAAAACCCTACTTAAAAACAGCTCCTCATGACCCTTGTATTTCTAAACTTCCTTCCCTTTGTTTTTCCCCATGGCAATGATCACCCTTTTACATACTTTGCACTTTCACTTGTATACTTGTCTATCTTCTGCCTCTAGTATGTAAGCTCTAGGTAACCAGGAAATCTATTTGTTTCCATTGCCTATCATATGATGCATGCTTAATATATTTGAATGAATAGATTCATGAAAAGATGAATTTGCTCAAAGGTCAAAGCCAGTATATGGCAGAGCTAGGAAAGAGCCCTTTCTCTAAGTGAGGTATTAAGAACCAAGGGGAAGAGAGAACAGGCTGGAAGGAGATGGGCTAGGGAAAAAGGCTCAATGGATAAAGATCTTTCTTCCTTTAGCACTGGTGAGTGTACTGGTTTCAAAGATTACTCATTAACTTACTGTGTAAAGAGAGAAGATCTTTATTCAGCAAAGGTTAGGAGAAACTTTACACAAGAGAATACTCCTTAAATGTGTCTGGATTTTTGTACAGTCTTTGGAATAGAGAATAATATTTCAAGTCATTTCCAGTTCTTCCTATCGGACACAGCGATTACTTTCCTACCCCATAAGTTAGTTTGATTCTATGGGATAGAATTCTTGCCAATGAAATGTGAAAAATGACACTTGCTACTTGTCATTAAAACCTTCCAAAGACCATTCATGTTTCTGTCTCCCCCTTGCTAAGGAACCATGATGATCCAATTATAAAAATGGTGGCTTTCTCACACTGAAGAGGTCTGCATACTTACATTACTGCTTAGAGGAAAGCCATGTGAACTTGGTAGATGATTGTCAATGTGAAAGAAACTTTTACTGTGCTAAGACTCAGCGTTAGGGGCTGTTTGATAAAGCAACTAGAAATAATTACCTTAATTAATATAACTATAAAACAATATTATACACTCTATAATGCAAACATTTCAGTGTAAAGTATCTGCCTATATAGTGCATGTTACTAAGTGCCAACTTTCCCAATTTGATTTTACATAAAGATACTTGAAATTATTCCTGACATATGGATTCCTATCATAGAAATGCTATGGCATAAGCATTTGTTGTAAAATAACAGTATTCTTAAGAACAATTTATAGGTTGGTGTTTAAAATAAAAGTCCTTGTATCACATCTAAAATATCTTTTGCTTGAACAGTTCTGAAAATATTTGAGCCAAAATTTCCTTTCCAATATCACTCTATCTAAAATATACCTACTAATAACACATAATCTATCACCATTTTTAGAATGTTTCCATAATTGAACATGTAGGGATTTAATTTTTATAAAGATAAGCAATATGTTGATCATGATTTCAACCAGGAAGCAAATGAATTGAGGAAGATTTACAGAGAACTCTTACAAGAAAAATATAATATGAAGAAAGAGAATTTTCTATTCTGTTGATTTGGATTTTATATCATCCACATATTCTAGATACAGTCTTCAAACATTCCTGAAAAACCAAAGAAAATATTCAACTAACTTTTTTCTCTTGCCATGGTATTCTGGGAAAAATATGCAAAATTATTAATTCTTAGATTTGTAGCTACTATATCTATGAGAGATTTCCTTTTATTTAGAGAGAATAATATCAACAACATAGACTAAGTGCTCAACTAATCTTAAAAGCATCTGAGGTAGAAAAGAAGTGGTAAGCAGCTTTATTCATGACAGGATAACTATTTATAAAAAATTTTAAAAACCCTCCTTTGCAACATTAATCCCATATTTTAAGGAAATTGTCCAAGAAAAACAACAAAAGCAGGGGCTGGGGATTAAGCTCAGTGGCCCAGTGCTTGCCTGGCAAGCACGAGGTCCTGAGTTTGATTCCCGGTACAGGAAAAAAACCAAAAAAAAAAAAAAAAAAAAAAAAAAAACAGGAAAAATAAGTAAAGTGGAAAACTTTTAAGCACATTTTGTTTTTTAAGTCTTAAAGTATAAAGTGATAAAAGGAAGTGGAAAGATGGCTGCCAGACAGTGAATATCTCTCCCCTGAAACTAACAACAGTTTCTTATTTTCCAATTAGGACTTCCAGAACTTAATAAGTCTTAGAGTGCTAAGGATTAAATCACAGCTTTTCTAAGACAGTTATATATTAGACCTATCCACTGAGCTTCAAAAATACTCATAACTGGGTTTTACCCACCAGAATAATTTGAATCTCCATGATATATTTTAAGATTTCCCTAAATGTTTCTAACATTCAGTTTGGCTAACTTCATTCTTTTGGTGTTTAATAAAACCATCTCAAGACAAAGTTCATATGCTTATAGGAGAAGGGAAAGAAAATTTACTGTTGGGTCTAACATTATGTTGGGAAGTTAAATATATTGCTACCTTTTCTTAGAATAAAACTTGAGGATAAATACTTTGATTCATTCTTTAAAAGAAAAGAATTAAGTAGGAAATAATTAGGAAAATGTGATTTGTGCTCTGTGGAATTGATGAAATAGTAATATTGTTTTCTGAAACTGGAAGTTATTAGGCAAATATTCAAAGATTAAATGATACATAAAATAAAAATATATATATATCAGCAAACTATGGACCATAAGCCAAATTTAGGTAGTCCCTGTTTTGTCAATAAAACTTTATTGGCATTCAGTTGCACCCATATTTTATTTTTATTTTACTTTTCCAGTAGCTATACTTCTCCAACAATGCCAGCATTAAGTAGCTGAGATAGAGACCATATGCCCCCAGAAAAAGAAAGGATAAATAATTACTATATGGATTTTAACAAGAAAATAAATTGCTGACCCATTGTATCTCCCTCAATTCACATGATGACTTTCTAACTTCCAATATCATGGCATTGGGAGGGGCAGGCTGTGGATGTTGATTAGGTCATGAAGATAGATTCCTCATGAATGGAATTTGTGTCCATGTATAACACACCCAGACAGATCTCTTCCACACATGCTTGCACAATAAGAAAGCACCAAGAAGAGAGTGCTCAGCAGACACCAAATCTGTTAGCACCTTCAGTTTTGACTTTCTAGATTCCAGAACTGTGAGAAATAAATTTCCAGTGTATTTAAGGCTATAATAATTATCGCAGCCCAGTCTCACATGAGACTCTTCTTCAACTACATGAGCATGCTTTGAGCCCTGAAATTCATGAAACTGAAAAGTGATTTCAAAATCTTTTCCAAAAATGAAATATCATCTAAGGGATTACAATTTTCTGATATTATAAGAAGTGCACATGCTGTTTACTCTTTCTTTGAAGTGAAATGTTCACTTTCTTCAAGTGAAATGTTTGCTAAAAAGCACTAAAGAAAAATGCCAGAAGACTAGAAAAATCAACACTGAAAAGTGGTATGGCATATCTTTCTTGAGGATTGGTAATACAAAAGTAGTTTCAGATTGTTGGAAATAGGGTGTTTTATTTAAATAAGACCATATGGCTGGGCTTCTGCTTTGTTATGTCATGAGGCAATGCCTAATCTATCAAAGCTATTTTCATCTAGGTTAATGATGGCACAGAGCATATCTCTTCAGTAAGAAGACAAGACGAAAGGAAATAAACCTACCATCTGTCATTCCTTCCCTGCGATGAGGCAATGCTGGCTGTTGGTCCATTCGCCCTCCCTTGTGTTTTTTGGTGGGCCTAGGCCTCTGACTTTGATTCAGAGCTGCACTGGTATTACTGTCAGTAGAAAATGGGCTGGTGGGTCGAGGTCTTTGAGAGGAGGTAAAGGCTTTTCCTAAAAGGAAATGGAGGGAATGGAGTACAGAGAATGTCATCAGAATGGCAAATACTTACTTCTTGTAGTTCTGATCTTACTAAAACTAATCTGTGAAACTACCTAGGGATTCCTTTTGATGATATCCAATATTAACACATCTCTATATGGTCCTGCTCTATAGAATTTGTCCAAATTCTAATAAAATAAGAACACCTCATGCACCAAATAGTATTCCAAAAGAGTGAACATAAGCAAATCTACCAACCAAAAGCTCATTATTACCTGGTTTTACTTTTATTTAAACCTGACAATCTTAGTGATACTTTCATAGGCATATCAACATTAATTCGGCATGTACTTTTCTAAAGAAGGTATTTCTAAAATGAACTGTGCACTGCCTTATTTGTTTACTGAAATTTCATCCTTGGAATCTTACAAACTCCCTCTGAAAACAGAAAAAAACATCTTGTAATAATTATATTTGAAATGTTACAAAAATATCTACTCAGATACATATATTCCACTGACCTTACTAAGAAATGTGTGTACATAATGTATTCTATCTTTATTTTTTAGCAAAAAATAACATCAGGGGGCAGTAGGTTAAAATGACCTTGTATACCCAAAGTGTAATAGATGCTCTCTGAAGAATGCTATTGTATCTGAGTAGATTCTAAATTCTCATTGAAAAGTCAAATATGCTATTTTCTTTGTGATTTAGTACATATAAACATAAATTCTTTCAAGGGAAAGGTTAGCTAGTAAATTTTCAACAGCTTATTATTTTAATACTGCGTTTATTGTAGTGAGAGAGGCCTGGTTTATGTGTGTGTATTTTTTTCTCTTGAGCATGCTTTTATTCCATAGAAAATCACTGTACATAGTCACATTTCCTAAGTCAGTAGGACATGATATTGCTTGATGCTTTATTAGCTATTAGCATACATGCAAGAAATGCATTTTGCCTTCAAAATTTATTAGTTTCCTTGCACTTTCTCACTGCTCTGCTTTTAGCTAATGCCACAAAAAGCACACAGGCAACATGAAGTTTTTGACTTACACTTTACATTGTAAGAAAATTCAAATAACAGTTAACTTACAACATATTTTAGTTCAGATGCTATATGAAAATAATCCTCTGCAATGCTTGAGAAATCTTTTTTTTATTTTGTTTCAAGACTAAATCCAAGCTCACAAGAAATATTGATGGTGTTTTAAAAGCAACTTCTCAGATTCATTTTTATGGCTTGAAAGATTAGTAAAGGGTCAAAATCATTTTTATTTACTATTTGAATACTACTAAGATTTAAAAATCCACTTAGGTTAATTTCATTACTATGTTTTGCAAGACATGTCAGTTTAATTCATAGATTACTTTGCTATATGTACACTTAAGATGTATACATACAAACATCAGGGCATACACCATGCCAAAGTTCCTTTTGCCCCTAGCAAAACAAATGATTATAATTACTGACATATTGTTAGAGCTAACGTTGCATTTCTTTCTTTGAGGAATAAGCAGCGCATGCAATTACATAATTGACCTCTTAAATTATTATTTTTCCTTAGAAATCAAATTTAAATGACTCTAAAGAGCGATATCCATGTAGTCATCATTTTATTCCACTTGCAAATGCAGTAGGTTTATCTTTAATTAGCATCCTTGAAATCATATAATAAATTATTGTATTAAAATCTTAGCCAAACAATTAATATGACCATCAGCTATTTAAACTGTTAGACCAACAGCCTTAGACCCATTCACCCCATGCTGAGGAAACATTCCCAGAAAAGGCATTTTCAGAAAGAGATGGGGCGAAGGAAAGTGATAGAAATAAAAGCTGAATAATTTTAATCACGAGGTTCATTATTGATTTGTAAGGGTTCTGCGAAGTGTGAGGTATTGAAGATTTAATGGCAATCTTAGTTGCTGCTTTGTTGTGATATAAAAAGGAAGCATATTCCAATTAATCAGCAGACCCATGAAGAGAAAGGCATTTGAAGGTGGTGAGTAGAATATTTTTGGCTCTATAAAATAACATCAGAAGACAGTTCTGGTAACAGAGAATCCAAACTGTGATCATGCATATTAAACAAGTCAGACTTGCTGAGGAGAAAGCACAGGAGAAAAAAGTCAGTGTCCAAAGGACAAGATTTTCTCATGCAAAGAGTGTTGACTTGGATTCTACCAACCTGTTCTCGTAAGGCTGGTTCCATCCAGCCTAAAACCAGCTTTATCTGCTGCTGCCACCAGTGCTTGTGCAAAACTGCCGCTGGCAAAGATGGAGCCATCTGAGGAGCTACCTACACTAGATCTATGACTAGAAAAGTTATGATCCTCATCAGATGCAGAGCCCCAGCCATTTACCATTGAACCTAAAAACAAATGTAGTTGTCTAGTGAGTTGTATACACTGGATATCTTATCTTCTTGAACACACTATACTAATGAGCAAGTAAGCTGCCTTAGCACCTCGGTTCACCTTTAAATTTCATCCCAAGTTCTTTAGCCAAATATCCACGATTTAAATATTCTCAGTGTAGCAAAAGAAAAAAGGAAATATTCTCAGTGTAAATGAATGATGCTAATTTAAAATCTGTATCTGTTTGCAGCAATGAACAAAACATGTTCTAAATGGTTCAATTATTACATTAAAGTTTTATACAACCAGGTTTCCAAAAAGGAACTCCTATACAAATTAAATTTCTATAATTCAAGGAAGACCATTTTGTCAAAGCAAGTGAGTGCTTTTAAACCAGTAAGGGATTTAGTTGAAAAAATAATGTAAATATATTTTAAACTTAGTTCAGACTTCAACAGTATAATCCACATTAATACTTGTGTCTCAGATATTATACATACATTTTTCTATTATCAAAGATTTAGAGTCATTTTAAGACTTTAAAATAAAGAAATTAATCACTTGAGAAATAGCAAATGTCATAAACAAATTTTACAAACATTTCTTTTTTATTTTAAAGAGAAAAACATAAAAATAATAAAACAGGTTAGTAGGAGAGTTACAATAATTAGTACATTGTGTATTGTTGTCTTTATAGTAGTTATTCAGAGTACAAGACATAAGCATGATATCTTGTTCAAACAATATTGGCACAAATCTTTCTGCTCAGCAATCTAAGACAAACTAGCTGTATAACTATTTTAAATATCTTGTGTATAAATATATTTTCCTTTTGCCCCTTCCTCCTAAAAACAAATGCAGAACATAAGAAAAATATATTTTATAAAAGTGTTAATGGCAATACTCATTATTCTTTCTTTTATTTTAATTATTTGAAAAATTCCAGTTATCTCTTTAATACTAATGCTATCCTTACAATATAACCTCTAGAAAGACTATCACCAAAATTAATATGGATTTTTTTTTCTGTAAAAGGCAACATGGCAACAGGGGAAAATGATTTTAACTTTATGTGTAAGGATCTGTTAATTTTGAAGATACTGGCAAATAATTTTATTCTTAACTTTCCAGAAACTCATTAAACATTTTATATTTTTTTTAGAAAAAATATACTAGGAACTTATTACTTAATACAATTAGGATTACAATACTTAAGTTGGTATAACATTAATTGATGATGCAATAGAAGACCACTCTAATTACTCTAATTTTTGTTAGGATAGGGACAAAACAGTATTTAGAGAAAGCTTACTTAGGATTCCTAAAGAAAGCATGTACATATGTGTATGAAAGATTTGAAAATCAAATGTTACAGACTATTTCTCCTTGTCTTCCTTATTTAAGAAACAGGAGTGTAGTTAGGAGTATGGCCATGATGCAGTTTGTATTTGCAGTCAAGGTAACAGAATACAATAACATGGATTCGTGCACTCTCAAGATAGAGCAGACAGAAACTGAAGGGTTAGAATGATCTGAGAAGTTAAAGGGTGTTAAGTGTAGCAGAGAAAGATAGCGTTTTGATTCTACTTTCCAAAAGCACACAGATACACCTTTCACTTTCTAAACAAATTCCCTCGATACAGGCCACTGCAAGGAATCTGAGATAACACCAGCAACTGAGCCTCCTTGGAGAGATTCATTTCTAGGTTAATAATCACAAGTCAAGGACCAACAGCCCAAAATGAAAGAAGCAATGATGCAATAGGCCTTGCAATATAATGCTACAGTAGATAAGAAAAAATCAAAGTGATTCAGTCAGGGGTCAAAAAAATATGAGACTCTAGATCTGAGAATAGTTTTAAAGCATTCGAAAGCTCAGTTCCTACCCTTTCTATGTGCTATTTTCTGTTTTTCTAAATGCTGTCTCTCTTCAAACAAGCAACTCTTTATTCTTCAGCTCTAAACTCCTGATTTCCTTCTCATTCCACCTTTCTGATTGGTAGCTGAATTATCTTTCTGAAGCACTCAGAATTCTCTTTTGCTAATTTATTGAAATTCTTACCTAGTCCACCAATGCCACATCCAAAGTGTTTCCTGAGTCTCTGGAGACTGTTCAATATTAAGACCAGTCTACCTTTGCTACCTTGTTCTGTCACACAGCCAGGGCAGTCTTTGCCACATTCATGTATGCATGACTTCCCATTCTTTGGGCAGACTTCTGTATTCCTGCAAACGCTGTTAACCACTGCCAAACTACAGTGTCTGAATGAAATACCTTCTGCCTGATGGCCTTAGTTCTACTTCACCAATGACTTTATGTTACAGAAAATCAGTCTCTCACTGTGCACATGAGAGTGTATCACTGCTCTTCCTATGTTACAGTTAGTTGCACATGTATGTTTCCTCTTCCTGGAAGGAAAATTCTGAACGTTAAGAACTAATTTATTCATCTCCATATTTCTTATACGAGGGGCATTGTAGGATAGAAATTCAAAAAACACTGAACATTCTGAATTCTGTGCATTTAATATTTCCATTATTCTCTGTAAATTTATGTGCAATTCTATTTGATATATTACTTCTCAGCAGTGAACTTGTTCTCCTTGCAAAAAGGATGTCCTCATAGTCAGGTCTAGGATATTTATAGGACAAGGAATATAATGTTAGTAATCCTTGTTGATTACTCAGATAAGGGGAAAAGCAATGTGGTCATCATCCAAAATGAGAAAGTAATAAATAGAACACATATAACTTTTATTATATAATGATACATGTTATAAAATGAAATATATGTATATATTCTTTACGCTTTAACACACTTCAACAATTATATTTACTGATATTTTATTCAACATTAAGATAACACTGAAATCCAGTGACTCATTCATGTGAATGTGTCACTTTTCTATCCACACTGACTCATCTTAACACACTTACTGCTTCCTATGTTCTTTGCCTTCTCGCTTTCATTTTATGTGGTTATGTTTCTCATGGCCTAAAGTGGTTAGATATATCTATGTTGTCCGTCTCTTCTGTTTTAAAGTCGTCTGTCTACTCTCTGCTCTAATGGGGAGTATGAAAAGTGAAAGTATTGTTTATTTACCTACACTTAGTTGAAGTCCTATCTCCCATTCAACTGACTCTTCCCAGAAAAGAGAAAAGAAGTATTAAAAAAACTGCATGAGTGAGACTTTTGAAGACATGGCAAGAAGCATTGGAGATTGAGTCAAAGACAAAGGCAGGAAAGTAGTTGATTTACATAGAATATGGTGAATGTGTGCGTGGAAATTCTCATGTGTATAACTCATTGGTAGGAAGATGAATAGGATTTTTGAGGGGAGAGTTAAGCTAATTCTCTACTAGGAAGTGTCACAGATGGCATTTCTTTGGTAATACTGCTGTGATGGGGTTTTTTTTTCTAAATTTGCAAGTTCAGAAACTAAAATTGTCTGCAAGTTATATCCTCAAGTATGATCCTGTCACACCATTGGCAGATAGAAAATAAAAAAGATGAGTACTTCTTGGCTAATTGTAATAGAGAAAGAATTTGAAGGAACAAAATAAATTAGAGCAAAGTGTGTTAAGATGAGTCAGTGTGGATAGAAAAGTGACAAATTCACATGAATGAGTCACTGGATTTCAGTGTCATCTTAATGTTGAATAAAATATCAGTAAATATAATTGTTGAAGTGTGTTAAAGCATAATTCATAAATTAAAAGGTTAGTCATGTTTTGAACTACTGCTTTCTTATAAACGTAGATAGAAATAAGAAATTCAAAGTGAATGTGAGGTAAAAGCACTTAGCTAGAGATTTGAGATAAATTGTTAAAATTTATAACCATTTTGCACATTACAGTCCCAAACATAATCAATACATATTTAAACACTTAATGAAAAATGAATTTATGTCACACAGTCAAATTTATTTGTGTTCACATTTTCAATCTTTCCAAAATTCTCAGGTTTAAAATTGCTGAAAGGCAAAAAAAAACCCTCAAATTTATTCAAGCTGCTAAAGAAGAACAGCACATAAGGCATTAAATTGTTGCTCACATGTTACTGAGCATAAAGTACCATGATAAAGTGGCATCTTGCTGTGTCTCTATTACATCTTCAGCACTAAAATTAATTTATGATCAGTCATCAATTCATTTGCATGTCATTTTATGCTAAATCCTTCCATGCTGATAAATGCTTATCCTTAGATCCATTAAGCTAGGGTAAAGTCTGTGTTTTATAATATGACCTTGCTAATTGTTGCATTACCATTTTTATGAGATACAAAAACTAACAGTCCCCCATTTTTTGAGCCAATATTTAATCCAGGAGTTCTTCCTATTGAGTGCTATTTGTCTAACTACTTAGTAGGTAAAATCCTCAACTATAATCTTTGGCCAAATCAGTTCAGGTCCTGACTTTTGTAGAAAAACAACTCTAGTCTCCAGAAGTTCCCTTTGCCCTCAAATATTTTGAGTATACAACGATTCCATCGACATTCCTCAAAAACTGAGCAATGTGTAACATGTAGGAGAAGCAAAATAAGCTATAAGAATCTCTTCCTTGGTACATGTGACATCTATTAACTTGCTTTACTTCAAAATCATACATATAAGAAACATCTTTTTATCCATTAAATTTGGAAGTATATAGTTAGTTTCTTTTCACAGAAAACAGAGCTGTTAAGGTAGTCTGAGAAAATAATTTCATTATTTTTAGCATTTCCCTTAAAACTAAAATTATGTTTCTAAAATTTCTGTAGCAGAAGCAAAGCTTCGGGTCAAAATGTTTAGCAGCCAAGACCCCAACAGCTACACGGTCAAGTCCGATACTGAGGGTGCCTGGTTTCATTGTTTTTGGACTGATCAGGTGTGGGAGTAGTAGTAAAAACCTCCAGAGATATAAAACAGAAAATACGGAGCCACAGTTGCCTCTCAGCTGTGCTATTCATGTGGGGCCCAGCAGTCAAGGGAATTTTTATTCCTTTTCCCTAAAAGGACTTACTCTAGCCTTGCT